GCGAGATCGTTTGCCTGCGCGTACGCGGAGATCATCGTTGTCCACGAGACAATGTCACGGTTGGGCATCTTTTCGAAGAGCAATTGAGCGCGGTTTACTTGCCGGGTGTGTACGCGAGCCTTGAGCATCGTGTTCCAGGATATGGAATCCCTCTTGGGCATCGCAGCAAAGAGATCCATGGCTGTTTGGAACTGGTTGCTCTCGGCGTAAGCCGCCAGCATTGCGTTGCCGCAGTAGAGATCATCGGGGCCATAGCTCTCATGGATGAGCTTTGCTTCGTGGATTTGGCCCTTTTGAGCGTAGCCCAGCACCATCACCGTGCACGCGATCCCACTCTTCTCTGGCATTCGATCGAAGAGATCTCTCGCTTCCCTGAGTTTTCCTTCCTTGGCATAGGCAGTGACGATCGTGTTCCAGGAAACTTGATCTAGAACAGGGCTCTCATCAAAGAGCTTCCTGGCTTCTTGGAGATGCCCGTTTTGGGCATATGCCGAGATCATCGTGTTCCAAGAGATCACATTCTTGTTTTGCAGCAAATCAAAGACCTTTCTCGCTTCGTCAACTTTCTTGTTCTGTCCATAGACAGCGATCATTGCGTTCCACGTCGCAAGGTTTTTCAAAGGCATCTTCTCAAAGAGCGTCGATGCTTTCTCGAGATGCCCGTTCCGGGAGTATGCCAGGAGCATCACATTCCACGAGTAGACGTTCCTCTGCGCGATTCCCTCAAACACATCGACCGCGTCTTTCAAGCTCCCGCACTTTCCGTACATCTCTATGAGGAGGTTCTGGAGATAGGTGTTTTGCTGCTCGTGGCTGCCAAGGATCTTTACGTGGAGACGCTTGCCTTCGGCCAAATCTCTGGTTTTGCCACACGATTTAAGCAGCGAGGCATAGAAATGCGTATCAATCGTCGCAAGCTCCACCTCCATCGCTGCTGATCAGAATGGAGCTCGCGGAGTGCATCCGCCTCGTTCAATCCTGCCACAGCATCGCATCCGCGAGAGAAGTTCACTCCAAAATCGCCCACCACTCCATCCCAACCAGCGCTTTCCTCGCAAACAAGCTCATCGAGATGTACGGGCGATGCGGCAGCGTTCCAGACGCCCTGGCCGTCTTTGATTCCATGGGCCCGAGAAAAGATGCCTTCACCTGGGTGTTCATGCTGTCGGCATATTCTCGAAATGGGCATCTCGACGAGGCCCGGAAGCTCTTTTGCGACTGCATGCCGTACCACAGCCTGGTGGGGTGGACGGCCCTGCTGGATGCGTACGGACAGCAAGCTAGACTGGATGATGCTCGCCACGTGTTCGAATCTATGCCCGAGTGGGACCAGGTGTCCCTCAACGCAGTGCTATCGGCATACACCCGGCATGGGCATCTAGCATTTGCGGAGATTATATTCTCTGCCATGCCACAGAGGAACCTCGTTTCTTGTAACGCAATCTTAGCAGCGTACGCTCAAAATGGTCAGACCGTATATGCAAAACAAATATATGATTCAATGCCGGAATGGGATTTGGTGTCGCTGACTACTATCGTTGTAGCATATGCCGTTTCAAGGCATGTAGAGAATTCGAAGATATGTTTTGACCAAATGCCGCTCAGGAACCTTGTGTCTTGGAATTCGATGCTGAGCTCCTACACTCAAAACGGGCATTCAGCGGAAGCTAAATTGTTTTTTGATAGCATGCCACAGCATGGTCTAGTGTCACTGAATTTGATGCTTTCCTTGTATGCCCAGAATGGCCTCCACGACGAGGCAAAGTCTCTGTTCTACCAAATGCCACAACGTGATGTTGTCTCTTGGAACACGATGATCTCGCTGTACGCAGACCGGGGAGATGTTGGGATAGCCACAAAGCTCTTTGATGAGATGCCGTACAGGAATATCGTCTCGTGGAATGCCCTGCTTAGTGCTCACAGCCAAGCTGGGCATGTTGAAGAGGCCAAATGTCTGTTTGATCAGATGCCACAGAGGGATCTGATCTCGTGGAACTCAATTCTTGTGGCATTTGTCCGGAATGGGCATTTTGAGTATGCAATGAGGACTCTAGAGACCATGCCCGAGCAAAGCCTTTATGCTTTGACTGCTATGATAAGCACGTATGCCCAAGTCGGGCATATCGAGAGCGCTTGGAAAGTTTTCAGTATCGTTTCTGGAAGAAACACTGTTTTGTGGACTGCGATGCTTGTCGCTTTTGGAGAAAACGGCTATGTTCAAGAAGCAAAGCTTTTGTTTGATCAGATGGAAGGAAAAGATGCCGTTGTTTGGAATTCAATGCTGTCGGCGTATGCCCATAAAGGGCATCACGCTGATGTCTCAAAGCTTCTTAGAACGATGCCTGAGCCAAGTCTAGTGTCTTGGAATGCTGCTCTCGGTGCATATGCCCGTCACGACCACAACTCTAGCAAGGTTTTCAATTCTTTATACACCATGAACACGATTGAAGCAGTTGACGAGACGTGCTCTAGTTTGGTGCTCCTGGCTTGCAGCCACAAGGGCGAAGTTTACGTTGCTCGACGATTCTTTATTTCAATGGTGTGGGACTTTGAAGTGGTGCCGACCAAGCAACACTACTGCTGCATGGTTGATATTTTGAGTCGCGCCGGTCACTTGGCCGATGCCAAAGAGCTCATCGAGACCATGCCTTTTGTGCCCGATTCTTTCGAGTGGCGGTGCCTGCTCGCGGCTGGACGATCCCACGATAATCTTGGAGATGGAATTGCAGCAGCAACTAATGTTTTTGGTCTGGATCGCAGTGATGCAACAAGCTATGTGTTGTTATCTAATTCTTACTCGATCATCAAGAGCAGTTGAACTTGTTTCGTTCTCAATTGGCGCACACCAAGATCATGGTGATTATGGCTTTGAAGAAAAGCTGGGTTTAAACACAAAGCTATCTCTATAGCTATCTGGACACCACGCTCCTTTAAGCCACTCCCATTGCCGTCGAACTGGATAGTATGTAACTATGACACCTCCAGCGGCTTGCCGGTGAGGCGCGGTCACGTAAAACACGATCACGTCGTCGACCAGTTCCATTCGGAGCGGATAAACACTGAGCTTCGAATCTTGCAAGTCACTTCCAAATCCCAGGTTTGAGACCTGCACAGGCCGCATGCAATCGTCCAGTTCCCAAATCCGTAAACCGCAGAATTTCAGGCTGTCAATGTCCCTCCATTCCGTGGCTACGATGAACTTGTCACCACATACACACTTCCCAACGAAAAGCTCTCCTGTCAATACCCACGAATCTGATCTGTGGTTTTCCCTGCGAAGATCTATGCACGTTTTCGATGCATTTGGTTTTGCAAAAGGTCCTGACCACCCTTTTGACTCCTTTGACGAGTCGTATGTGTACGTGTACGTGTTCCCGCCACCTTTCAAGGTCAAACCAATTTTATACACTCCCGTAAACGGGTCATGCCTGAACTCCATGTTGGAAACATGTAGATTGAACTGTCCCAAGCTTAATCTCTTCCATTTTCTAGTTATCGGATTCCCAACAAATATGTATGGCCATTTCATGCCACAGACGAGCCCAGCAGACGAAGCCCAGAGAGACGCGCTGATTCTTGACAATCCTTCCACTGGCCAAGCCACAGTCGTCGCAAGTGGATCCCATAGGTGTAAACTATTCCCAAGGTGCAATAGAACGACTAGATTCCTCGCTGTAAACCACGGGGATTGGACTAGCTCGAGCCACTCCTTGCAAACCAAGCGTGCGCGGAAGAGACTTTGTATGTCAAGGCGCGAGAGAACGTCTAGCATGAGATGGTGATCGAGGGGTTCCATTTGCGCTAAAAAGGAAGTTTTTACCCAATTCAATAAAAGGAGAGAAAAAGGGATCAATTCACCTTTATGTTATGCCCATCTCTCCTGCTCAATCTAGCCCATCCAAATGTATTGAGGATTTTTCTTCGTCAATCCGCGAAGCCAACCACCTCATTGAGATGTATGGAAGATCCGGGAGCGTCGATCGAGCACGGCAAGTGTTTGACGACATCGCGGCTAAGGATCAAGCATCGTGGTCGCTGCTGCTGTTGGCGTATTCCCGGAATGGGTATGTGCGAGAAGCCAATAGCGTTTTTTATGCCATGCCGGAATGGTGCATGGTATCGCTCAATTCTATGCTGGGATGCTACGTGAAAAATGGGCTGCTGGAGGACGCTGAGAAGTTCTTTTTTGATTGTATGGCCCTGTGGAGTGTGGTGTCGTGGAACACTGTTATATCTGGCTATGCCCAGTCTGGGGATTGCGAGGATGCGAAGAGGGTGTTTGATTTGATGCCTTGGAAGAATATGGTGTCGTGGAGCTCGATGCTTGTGGCTTATGCTAATGACAAGAAGCTCAAGGACGCAGAGGAAATATTTTGTGAAATACCTTTGCTTGACACTGTCGCCTGGACATCTATGCTGGTTGCATATGCCCAAAACGGGGTTTTAAACAAGGCCGAAGAGATTTTTGGCAAAATGCCAGAGAGAAACTTGGTGTCCTTTAATGCAATGCTTGCAGCATTTTCACACAGCAATAATGTCTTAAATACGGAGTATTTCTTCAAAGAGATGCCAGAGAAAAATGTGGTTTCTTGGAATGCCATGCTTGCAGCATATGCCCAAACTGGGCATTTGGAAAACGCTAAGCTCGCGTTTTGCTCTATGTCACAACGTAATCTCTTCTCTTGGAATTCAATGCTGGCTGCCTACGCCCAGTACGGTCATTTAAAAACCACTAAAGATATGTTTTACTGGAAGATGCCGCAGTGGAACTTGGTGTCATGGAACACCATGATAAACGCTCACTTGCAAGCCGAGGATTTGGGTGGCGCCAGAGAAATCTTTGCTGCGATGCCGCAGCACGACACCATCGCCTGGAACTCGATTATGGCAGCGTACGCTCAGCAGGGACTGGTGGAGAACGCAAAGCAGATGTTTGATTCCATGCCTCAATGGAACCAAGTCTCATTCAACGCGATGATCTCCGCCTACTCGAATCTACACGAAAGTCATGGCGAAGGATTGGCAGCAGCGAGAAAACTCTTTGATCTCATGCCGCAGCTCTCGCTCGTATCTTGCAACTCGATGCTATCGCTGCTCTCGGAGAACTCTAAAGTGGAGCGAGCCAAGGAGATGTTCGAGGAGATACCCCAGCGTGACTTGGTTTCCTGGACGGCCATGCTCGTTGGGTATGCCCGAGCTGGGCATATCGACGAAGCCAAGAACTTGTTCGATGCAATGCCGCAGTGGGACGTGGTGAGCTTCACGTCGATGCTGCTGGCATTCTCTCGGAGTGGCCTGGTGGCGGAAGCCAAGCAAATCTTCGACGCCATTCCGCAACACAACTCCGTCTCCTGGGATGCGATGCTGGTTTGCTACGCGCAGAGCGGCGATGCTCACTCTTCCAAGCGTCTTTTCGATGCCATGCCGGAGCACGACCTGGTGGCGTGGAATGCGCTCCTCGCGGGGCATGCCCAGCTCGGGCAGCCCGAGGCTGCGGCGCAAACTTTCGACGAGATAAAAATGGTGGAGCGGCCGGATGCGATCTGCTTCGTGTCGATCATGACCGTTTGCGAGCTGGAGCAGTGCCGTGAGTGCTTTGTTTCGATGGTTGGAGACTTCGGAGTGGTGGCGAGGAAGCAGCACTACTCGTGTCTTGTGGATGTGCTGGGACGAGCCGGGCATATCACCAAGGCCATGGATCTCATCACCAACATGCCCTTTGAGGAGGACTGTGTGGATTGGATGTGCTTTCTCGACGCTTGCAGGAGGCACAGCGATGTGGCCCATGGAGCGCAAGGAGCAAAACGCCTCTTGGAGATTGATCCAGGAAACTCAGCTGCTCTGGTGGTGCTGGGATCCATGTTTACCTTCGGAAAGGGAGTCAAGGTGGTGGATCAGGTTCTTGGTAAATAATCGTTGTGAATAATTTGATCAAAAAAGACTGTATATACACTTTTACACAACAGACTCTTTACAGAAGAATAACTTAAACTTGTAACAACTAGGGATCAAACAGAGTCCAAAAGGTTCTATCTATTGGAATCTACACGAAAATCATGGCGAAGTATTGGCAGCAGCAAGAAAACTCTTTAATCTCATGACGCAGGCATTAACGAGCATGGTTGGAAACTCCGTCCACTTTAGAGGTAAGCTTCAAGTTGCAAGAGTCGGGGAGTGCTCTTGTTTCAATGGCTGGAGATTCCGGAGTGATGGCGAGGAAGCAGCACTAGGGATCTAGCGGGGCACCTCAGCAAGTGGATCTGAGGAGGACCCGCGGAGTGCACGGAGCAAAGCAGCTCCTGGTCGATCCAGGAGACCGGCTCTGGAAAAGGAGTCAAGCAAGTGGACCAAACGCCGTGCTTGGTAAGCAAGTCGTCGTCAATGCTGAAGTCTTCTGACACGACGCGGCGACGCTTATAATACATGAAACTGGGCTACTATAAAAACTTGGCAAATGTTAGAGCCATTCCACAGTTCAGAGTTCTTACTTGTCTTCGATTACTCGTCACCCAGTGTTCGCAGTAGCATTCATGGCTTATCACCGATCTTCGGCATTCCTTGTGCTCTTCTTGGCTTGCATGGGTCTGGGATTGTCAGTGGCAGCTGCGACGAGGGAGAGTTTCACGTGCTACTGGACTCCATCTGAGAGTGGTATATGCAGAGGCAAGGCGGCGGACACGGCCATCGAGACCTGCGATCCTAAGCAAGAGATAGCTAAGGTGTGTGGCGATTTCTGGAATAAGATTCACACAGAGGGCGCCGGGAAGTTGAAGGATGGGCGATACGTGACTTGCCAAGACGGCAATTGCTACTGCTTCGGCGTGACGGATGGTCCCAAGGGCAGCAGAGACAACAACTTGCACCTCTACGTGTCGATTGCGGTTCCGGGCGAGAAGTATCCCTTTGGAACGAAGCTCGAGATAAGTCAGCTGAAGGGGCTGGTGCTTCCCGGCGGTGGGCGACACAACGGGTGTGTTCGGGTGGACGACTCGTGCACAAGCTGTAACATGGACTTCTACGTGGGGCGGAAGAGGAACTACGATGCTATTGACGCGCAGGTCACTGGTGCCTGGGATGTTACAAGCGGTTCGAACTGCGAGATTTGGAACTATGGTAATTGAGACCCTCCATGTTCTGCTGCACTCTTGAATAGAAGATCGTGATCAAGCCTAATGGACCTTGCTGCCATGAGTAGCTCCCAAATCATCCCGGACTCTCGAGTAGCTCATCCACAGATAGCTGTAGAATGTTGTGCATGAAACTCGATTTTAGGAACTTGGTAGCTTCTCCAGAAGGAAAATGTTCTCCTTGTCATCTCGGCCGACTCGCCAGCTCTCATCCAGGTAGCTTTGGTTTGTCAGGAAAAACTAGCAAGAGCTGTTGCAAAAGGATACGTGATTTCAAGCCAGCCCGCGGGATTGAAAATGCCTAGCAGGAGGTCGTAGTTCTTCTCAAATAGGTTCATCAACTGCAAGCAAAAGAATCTAGCACAACTTAGAAACTCTTTGTAACAGTGATGACGGATACCTGGTTTGGAACAATTGTCGATGATTCATACGTGATATCTACGTGCTAATCCCTTGAATCCAAAAGACTTAACAATGAAACCAAAGAGAAGAATGCGAGCAAACCGTGGGCGAAGTGATTCGATACGAAGCCGTGATGGTAAGCGAGCCTCTAAACATTGAAAATGCGGGAACGGTAAACTCGATCGTGTTCACTGCTTTCATCTGCGTTAAGGCAGGCATGTCGAGGAAACAAAAGAGAAACACGAAAGAAGCCATCGCTAAACCTTCGCTATGTCAATCGTTTGAGTAAAGTCTCCAAGAGAGATGAAGTCTCGAAGCCCGAGTTTAGTACGTTTCGAGCCGAGAATGGAGATGGTGCTGTAAAGAAGCTGCCAGTTACCATCCAGCTGCGACAATGAAATCGAAAATCCTTTTAGTGTTGAACAACGAGCATGCGACCTTTGGAAGATTTTCCATGGGGTTTGGGCATGGATTCAATCTCTCGAGCTCCATGATAAGCTCCTCAATCGCGATTTTCTTTGGGGTCTGGACTCCAAATATCCCCCTGTTGATACCTACGCGAAAGGAGGCATAGACACATTGTCCTAGAACAGATAGAGCAAGAACAGACCTTTTAAGTTATCCTTGATGGAAGATTTTAGATCTCGCAGCTCTGGAGCAGTGAGCGCAAGAGATTCCTCCTTGCAGGCCAATCTTGTGCTGATGCTATTGCAGCAGCGGCTTGGCCACGCCCAACAAGCACCGGCATTGATCGCTGCCGCCATAGAACACTTTAGGGTTTGTCCTCTTCGTGGGCGGGAGGTTTATTCAAATGTATGTCTCGCGAGGAATTGCTACTGATCGTTCGCTCCTGCCACAGCTTGAATGCCGCCCAGCAGCTCCACGATCGCATCCGCGAGCTGATCAAGTACCCCGATGCCCACTTCTCGAATCACGTCGTGGACATGTATGGGCGCTGCGGCAGCGCCCATCTCGCCCAGCAAGCGTTCGATGGCATCGCCTCCAAGAATTCTTCGTCCTGGAACTTCCTCCTTGCCGCATATGCCCGAAATGGGCATTTGGAAACCGCCAAGCGCCTCTTTGATTCCATCCCGCAAAGAAATCGTTTCACCTGGAGCATCATGCTAGCGGCTTTCACGAAAAGCGGCCACGTGGCGGAAGCTCAGGATCTCCTTGATAGGGCTCCAGAATGGGATCTAGTCTTCACAACCGAGATGCTCACCGCATATGCCCGAAGCGGGCACCTTGAAAAAGCCGAAAGAATCTTTCACAGCATGGCCGAGTGGGACCTCGTGTGCTTCGGCGCGATGATAACGGCATATTCGCAGTCCGAACACGTGGCAAGAGCCGAGAGATTCTTTGACTGGATGCCGGGGTCGAACCTCGTGTGCTGGAACGCCATGCTGGCTACTTATGCCCAAAACGGGCATCTGCTGCGTGCCAAGGAGCTGTTTGACCGGATGCCACGTCGGAATCTGCTGACGTGGAATTCTATGCTGGCGGCGTGCTCCCAGCACGGCTACGAGCAGGAGGCGAAAGAGGTGTTCGATCGCATGCCGGAGTGGGATCTGGTGTCGTCTACGTCGATCCTGACGGAATTTGCCAGGATCGGACGGTTGCCGGACGCCATGCGATTGTGGGAGGCGATTCCGGAGCAGAATCGCTTTATTTCGACGGCGATGGTGGCCGTGTGCGGAAAGAACGGGTTGTTGGTTGAGGCCAAAGAGATCTTTGATCGGATGCAAGAGCGTGATATGCCGTCTTGGAATGCGTTGCTCGCTGCGTATACCCAGAATGGTCATCTTGTGCGAGCTAGAGAGGTGTTTGATTTGATGCCGCGGCGAAACATGGTCTCGTGGAACACAATGCTGGTGTCATTTGTCCAAACGGGCGACCTCGACTCCGCGGAGACGCTGTTTTATAAGATCCCACAGCAGAATATCGTCTCTTGTACGGCAATGCTCGTTGGCTTTGCCGAGGGTGGTAACCTCCACAAAGCCGCTAGAGTGTTCCGTGCGATGCCCACACAGGACGTGGTTTCATGCACGGCAATTCTTTCTGCATATGCCCAATCTGGGCATCTGGAAGATGCTCATTTTCTTCTCCGTTCAATGCCGGTCCAGAACCTTGTTTCGTGGAACGCAATGTTATCTGGCTACGCCAACTTTGGCCATCTTGACGAAGCGTATTCTTTGTTTGTAAGCCTCCCTGAAAAGAATCTAGTTTCCTGGAACTCAATGCTCGCAGGATATGCCCAAAACGGGCATGCTGAAGCCGCAGTGACGGTGTTTCACGGCATGCCCGAGAGGGACATCGTGTCCTGGAACTCCTACTTGGGCGCGCTCGCGTTTAACCGGGGTAGCGTTCGCGTCGCGCTCGCCCAGTACGAATCGATGAAGCTCACGGACAATCCCGACGAGGTGTGCTTCGCGATCGTGTTGCTGTGTTGCAGCCATGCCGGGAAGATCCGGGGCGGGATCCAGCGCTTCCTGGCGATGAGCTTCGATTTCTCGGTGGCCGCGACGAGGAATCACTACTGCTGCCTTATCGATCTGTTTGGGCGCACTGGGCATCTCGCCGAGGCCGCGGATTTGATCGCCCATATGCCATTTGAGCCCGATTCTCTGGAATTGCGATGCCTGCTGGGGGCGTGTAGGACGCATGGGAATCTCGAGCACGGCGCGCGCGTTGCGAGCTTTGTGCTGGGATTGAGAAGGGAAGAATGCGCCTCCTATGTGTTCCTCGCGAGCATCTACACGCACGCTCTCAAAATTTAGGGTTTAGCTAGGGTTTTGGAGGAAAATGGCGACAGCGCTTGGCGCCCAGCTCAAGGCGCTGTCGTCAATCCAGGGGCGGGAGACGGCTTTGGTTTCTGGCACTCGCACGCGCCCATCGCTGCTGTTTGATCCCAGGAAAGCGGCGGATATCGATCTCCAGGCGATTTTTTCAATCGCTCAAGCAGGTCCGAGGAGAGTTTTTTTTTTTTTTCGCGAGAATGTGATTTTTTTTCCTTTCATTTACAGGATTGCAAGAGCTGCTGGAGCTTAATGGCGCGTTCGTTCCATTCCAAAGGACGCTCTTTAGCACCGAGAGCACACAAACGGATAGAGAGCTCCAGACAAAGGAATTCAATGACAAGCTCAATCAATCCATCGCGTCGTTCTTGCAAGTCCTCTCGGCATTTGTTCTTCTCCCCGCGGCTCACCAAGTTCTGGAGTACCTCATCCGGCGCTACAAGTTTGTGTTGGTTTGGGTTTTCTAACTTCGATTTGATACCTGTTTCTTACTGTACCAGGATCCATGTCTACAACGTTGAAGATGTCATGATGTCCATACTTCCATTCCACGAAACCAGCGTTTTTGTTCGAATTGTTCAGCTCCTCAAGCTCAAGTATGCTATGTCTTTTTACGACTCGTAGCTTTTAACATTTCTTTTTTTCCAGGAAAACGAGGTGGGAGTTTCTTAAGGGAGTGCAGAAATCCGGTGCTGCCCCGCCCCGTGAAGTTCTCGTACAAAGATGCACCCATGACAATGCTTTCTTGGAAGCTGTCTGTGACACGGTGAGTTTACGGACCTTCAAATCATGCTGGTCTCTTACATTCATGTTTCTGTTCAGGGACTGATGGGAATTAAACCTCTGGTAAACGCAAGGACACATGTAACATTCAGCTGCGTGACAGTGATGGAGACATTGTCGAAGATCCCTTCCGTAACGAAAGATGTCTTGAATAAAGTGATGCCATTTATTCTTCATGCTTTTGAGAATGGCGTGACTGATGAATATCGGGTAAGTATAGTTACTCTTCCTCATGTGCTAATGACAGACTCTCAGGTTGGGGGACTAATGATAATCGGCCTGCTGACTGGCAAGGCAACTCTTACCAAGAACCTGTGCTCAACGCTGCTCGAGTCTGTGAGCAAAGCAGCGTCTAGAGGAGATGCGCAGCTGTCTCGCCTCTCGCTGATGATTATGATTCAGATTTTACAGGTGCGAATCCTAGGAACTAGAATGATCGTCATATATGACGTGTTTTTGTATGTAGACTCAAGAAGTGGACCTTTTCCCTCGGAAGGCATTCAAGTACACCGTAAAAGTGAAGTATGTAATCGCTAGTTTTGCATCTAAATAGTTTAAACTTATGATCGTTTTTCATGCCAGGGAGCTTCCAGTATTGTTGACAGAGCTATCAAAACTATTTGACGCCGAGAGGTTCATTTTCTTGTTCTCCAGTGCCCTTGCAGAGCACAGGTACGCAAGTTTTCGTTCCTCACTACTTAAAATCTTATTATTCTTGCTCTATCAGCCTACGGAGCAGAAACTACGAGAAAAGATTTTTTGAGATGATTAAGGAATTAAATCTTGGACGCCATGTGAAGGTTATTTTGTCGAGACTACTCAATGCTGGCATAGAAAAAGAAGCCGAGGACAATAATTTTTGTGCTAGTAAGTCTATGATCTCCGTCTTTCTGCAACTTTAACAACGTTTTACAGAGGATTTTTTCCAAAAAGCGCTTCCAGCTATTGAAAAGCTATATCCGTCCGAGCTAGACAGCGCTGTGAAGTCCTTGTTTCAGGTTCTTATTCGTATGATTTCTTATTTCTATCTAACCCTGAGAACAATTTGCAGGAGAAAAATAGTTCGATAATAAAGATTCTGGATCATGTCTTAAAAGATAGTCTGCGAAAGCCTTTGGAAATGGCCGAGTGCAGTTTGTACGAATCTATAGACCATCCAAAGGTGAAATTTTCCAAAGTAGACAATTTGGATATTTAATACGCCCTTTCGCAGGCTGAGGTCCGAAAGCTGGCTGTGCAGCATATCTCGGAGATGTCCATGACAGCTGAGGTTGGTGTTCTTTTTCGTCTACACTTGTACTTATCGTCTTGGTCTTAGGCTGCTCCGATTATCTCCGGAGCTTTGCTTCGCCGACTCGGTGACAGTGATCTGGCAGTAGTACACACTGTTGTGTCGATCAATGGGCTAGAAGAGCTTATTCCACCAGAAAAGCTTATCAGACCTGTATGCAGTTTGATCCATAATTGCATGGATGTCCTTCAAAGAGGTACTCATCAACAGTCTGTTTTGGTAGTCATTGTTTTTCTTCAGGCCCAAAACCTTCGAGAGATGATGCAAAAGCGGTTTTAAAGAAGTGTTTGGAACTTGTGGAAACACATTTTTCAGGACAGGACAGTAGCATGCAGAAGGAAGTCCAACGTTGCCTTCTGTGCTATATAACAGTAAACACTAAAGTATTGCTTATTTCCCTTTTTCCCTTTGCAATGTGCTCACTGCTGACATGCTTCAGACATGGAAGCAGAACCTGCAAGCTTTGAATGCTTCAGCGCAATTTCCAGTTTTGCTCTTCAAATTCCTACCAAAAGAACTTCCTGAACGCTCTGAAGACCGAGGGCTTAAGGTATGAAAGCCGATTTCTCCTTCTTTACCTAAGCTATTTTGTTCAGGATGCCTGGTATACCGAAGTGAACGATAAGATTGTAACTGCGATTGCAAAGTCTATAGTTCAGGATCACACTTTAACTGACTTATTGCTAGAAGCAGCCATGATATCTGACAACGCCAAAATGTTGAGCCTTCGCGTACTTCCGAGATGCTTTGTGGAAGGTCCCGATGGTAAGCTTGAGTGTTTTTTTTCTCGTAAGCAATTAACCAGCTCGCTGTTTAAGGAAATTCAGAGCAGTTATTAAAGAAATGCATTCCATTTCTTCGCGAGGAGTGGTCAGCAATCGCAACTAACACTGATACTCTTGGATCGGTGAGCATGAGATTTTTTATCTGTGCATAATATGCCCGCCGCAAACGTAGGTCGATTATGTTTCTCAGTACGATGCTGACG